TTTTTATTTTCAGGTTCTGTTTTCCCTTTTTTTTTGCAAGTCGGGAAATACATGGGAATTTACGTGCGCCTTAGCGAGCGCACGGGGAATTGGGCTCGGCAATCGGGAATTCCGGGATAAGCGGAACTTCGACGTGTCCTTTTCGTATGTGTGAATGTTCTTGGTCGCGTCAGGAAAAACTCTCGGAATTTTTGCGTGAATACGAATAGGCATAGGATTTTCTTTTCCCGCGTCGCTTTTCGCGCGCGGATATGGTGATTTCAATTTTGAATTAGGATAGAAGCAAGCTGTAACTCTTTCGGTGCCTTTTTCTCTCTTTTTGTTGACGGCGCCACGCATGCAAAACTCCCCCCCCCCCCCCCCCCCCCCCCCCCCCCCCCCCCCCCCCCCCCCGCCCCCTCCCGCGCTCCTTTCCCCTTCTCCCTCCTCTTTCTCTCTCCCCGTAACTGTTTTCTTTCTCTCTCTCTCTCCCGCCTTGGTTTTTGCGCGACCATTTCTCTTTCTTGATCATCCGAATCTTGGACCCGTCTTGCGCCACTTCTCGCGCCTTTTCTCTTCTCACCCTCTGAGTCTGGCGCACGACGCCCGGTCGATTCATCGATAAGTCCCGCTCGCCAATCAGGTGCGTGGATCAATAGGACCTTCCTATTGCGCGACGAATGTGATTGGTTGAACCTTGAGTTTCGAGGGATCAACATGGCGTTCGTAGAGCACTCTTCAAAAAGTCTTCTCCTCCTGCTTCTCCTCTTACACCTCAGCTTTCCCTTCGCTTTCTCCCCCTTCTATCTCCCTTGTCGCAACTATAAAACCCGCAAGCGCGTCCGCAACGATCTCGACTCCTAAGCCAGATTCCGGGAAGCAGTGGCTAGGCAGAGTGTTTTAATGGGAGTCGGAAAGTCCTGTCGGACTGATGATAGGCTGGCCGGTTGCGCGCTGGATCGCCACGACGGACTGTGGGATCCGGGCGAGCCGAGTCGAGTTTATGCCAACGGGGTGACGATCGCAGTGGTGGGAGTTAGCACGCGACGGCCGGGATCGTCGGTGCGGGTATGAGGATCGATGATTGGAGTTGAGTGAGTGATTGGCCCGGGCCCATATTAGTCCAAATAAATTACCTATAATTGCAGAAGAATCAAAATATTTGCAAAAAATTACTAAGTTCAAATTAACTGCATTAAATATTAACTCCAGACATATTAGAATTAATGGCGAATGCGCCTTTGTTGCGGATCTTTATCTTTGGCATGAGTGTACGACGGCTACGCCGAATGTCTCTCTTCCAGATCTGGTCATCTCCTATCCCAACTCTCCTCCCTCATCCCCCCCCCACCTCTCTTCTCTACTTTGGAATAATGATGTGTCTAGACGTTTGCTTCTCTTCTTCTCTTTGATGGGAATGAATCTGTGTGTTCTCCTTTTGTGAAAGAACTTCTCTTGGAACTCTTCCATTAGTTTCCTGGGTAATCCTCCTACGCAAGGACCCCGTCTTCTTGTTTTGTGAACGGTGGATGCGTGTGTACTGTGCAATGCGATCCATCTTTTTCTGTGCATGTCTCATTTTTGCACCTTCCACAGTGAATGCATGTATGGAGACGAGTGACTCTTTTCGTGTTGATTAGACGATTGTCGTCGGGATTTTGTTCGAGAATGCAAGAGTGTTTAGATCTGTAGTTTCGAATACACTACGCATGCCATCTGCCTTATGATGCACGACCTCGGCAGCCATGCCACCAGGCGACCTTGAGAAACAAGGCGCCGGGGACCAACGTTATGTTGGCTCACTAAAACAGAGTCACGGGTCGGTCCCTTAGCCATATGCATGATCAAGCTGATGTGTGTTCTCTCTCTCTCGTGTCAAAAAAAGATTGATTGGGGGGTCGCATGAATGTTTTGTGTTCTTGAGGACGTCTCGGGATATTTGCGGTTGATTGACATGTGGACTGACAAGCACCCTTCGATCGGGTGCCAGCCTCCCGTATCTCCCATCCCAACACGACCTTTTCCCTACAGCGAGGAAATGACACGTGTATGCGAGTGGGACGTACGAGAAGCCGTCGCACAAATCGGTGGGCAATATTACTTCCCTCCGGCCGACCGTTGTTCATGGTTCGTAGAAGCTGGGTTTGTCATTATCGATACGCATTTTCCACCCTACGCGATATTGTTGCCATTTAACGAGATGATCGTCATTCCGTGGACGACAGTGGCACCCCATTGGCCTCGAACCCTGTGCACGGAGTGCCAACGCTTCGATCGCTACGAAGCGAAGGGTTTCCACTACCGAATACGGAGTGAAGACGAGCATAAGGAACGAGCCACGCGGCTGAGCTCATCCAAGTCAGACTCATAACTGACCAGCGAACGACGTCGGGATTTGATACGAAAACGAGACACGCGAAGCATACCAAAGGCCTTCCGCTCTAAACGACGCGCCGTAGCACGGTGGGAAGCCCGACAATACGTTTTGGATTGAATTTGGATTTTTTCTCTTTTTGCGCCGTGCACGAGCGCGCATTTCGCGACGCGCGAAAGCAATCGACTTGCTTCATCGGACCAACACGAGGGTTTCAGTTCCGTCTGTGTCCCCACACTCAATTTTTAAAAATCCTTGGCACACCCCATCTTGCTGTTTTTCTGGGCCTCTTTCCGCACGTCTAACACTCCGAACGAAAGACAGCATAGGGTGTGAGGTTGCGCGTCACATCATGCCTTTCCTCATGCCCCTCCCCTACGAACATAGCAGACTCTGCTTGATGCCGATCGGAGGATCCAGTGGTCTATCTCTTGGGTAGCGGGTGCCAAGTAAGCCCAGGAAGGCATGAGGCCAATGGGGACTGAACCCATGACCTCCTGAATGCCACTTGCGAGCCTTACAAACCGAGCTAGGCCCCTGGATAAGGACATTTTTTCTTTGACAGCCTATGTGGCAAAGAAATACAGTGGCCTAACTCAGTTGGTAAGGCTCGCAAGTGGCATTCAGGAGGTCATGGGTTGAATCCCCATTGGCCTCATGTACCTTCCTGGGCATGGTTGGCGCCTGCCACCTAGAGATAGACCACTGGATCCCCCGATTGGCATGTAGCCGAGTCTGCTGATGTTCAGAGGCTGTAGAGGGGCAAGTATTTTTTTGGTCATGGCCAAATGGACTCCGCCTTTCGACAGGGCACGGGTGTTACAGAACAGTCCCTGACAATGCAAATTTGAACACATTTCTTGCAAGTCAGGTGGGGCACTTTCGAATTTCTGTCTCCTGCAGGCAGGAGGAAAAGAATGGGGGAGCGTGGCTGACGAGCGTACCATTCTGAGGGCCTAGCCACACCACTGTCAAAAGGCGAAAGAATGCGACTGCTGTCAGAATAAATTCGACAGCCTCCCTTCGGCAGTTTGCCCCCCTTTAGCCGCACAGCACTGTAGAGGGGACACACTTGTGAATGCAAGACGGAAAAAGACCAGCGCACCTGAGGGTAGGATAAACATTAGTCCATCCCGACCTCACGCCCACTCACCAAATTTCGAACAGAAGTCGATGATGCAGCCGAGGACTGTCGGACACCTTGTGAATGCAANCTCACCTGAGGGTAGGACAAACATTAGTCCATCCCGACCTCACGCCCACTCACCAAATTTCGAACAGAAGTCGATGATGCAGCCGAGGACTGTCGAAAGCATCCGAGTAGCGACCAGCAGCCTATCTCAGTTGGTAAGGCACGCAAGTGGCATTCAGGAGGTCTTGGGTTCAATCCCCATTGGCCTCATGTACCTTCCTGGGCACGCTTGGCGCCTGCCACCTAGAGATATGCCGTTGGTCCCCCCGAGTGGCATTGAGCAGAGACTGCTGACCGGAGGAGAGGCACAGTGACTGGCCCATCGAAGAAGCTCGGTCCTGATGCTACCGGCTGACCCCTGGCCGGTATGGCCCACCTGCTGTAGCAGGTATCGCACCTGCTGGTGGGTGCAGCTCCCGCATGTTCCCTCGTTGGAGGCTTGAGCACGGATGTGGCTGCTACGTGGTTCCCCGTAATACTATAATGACAACAAAAAAAGGCCTGAAAGGCCGTCCTGTCCAGATTGGACAGGTAATTGAATTTGTTGGGCTTAAAGAATTAGCCTTTTAACAAAAAAATAAATAAAAAAAATGAGCATTCGAGTAGCAGGCTGGGGATTGGGGAAAGTCATAGAACCTCCCGGCTACGAAACCTTTGTATCCTTTTCCCCCAAACGGGGAAACACGGATCTACCAAATTCGCAAATGTACTATTCCTGCGCCCATTTGTCAGGCTGAGCGGCCTGGGAAGCCACGCGGCAAGGGATTTTGTGGTCACCTCTGGAGGTGACCACAATGAGCTTTTTGTGTTTTGCATTTTCTTCCAAGATTGGCAAAATTCCGTTTACAAAAGTTCTTGCACAATTAGTGGATGGCGCCGTGTGACCAGCCAAGTACCAAATCCCCATTTCTCCAGACGGTCGTGACCTTGTCCCATCTGAAAAGGTACAGCAGTGTGACATGAACCATGCCCAAAACCTTAAATCGGCCCTTTCCAAATCCACATGTTTTGCGGATTTGGGGTCGCTGTGTGAGTATGCCCTCAGTTGGTACGGCACGCAAGTGGCGTTCAGGAGGTCTTGGGTTCAATCCCGATTGGCCTCATGTACCTTCCTGGGCATGCTTGGCGCCCGCCACCTAGAGATAGCCCTTTGGTCCCCCCGATTGGCATTAAAAAGCAGTCTCTGCTGATGTTCATAGGGGAAGGGGTAATGGGGGAGGCATAGCGACTGGCCACTCAGATGATGTTGGGTCCCTCTGCTACCGGCTGTCCCCTGGCCGGTGTCCCCCATTGGGGGTTCCCTAAAGGCAATCAAGGTCACCCTGGGCTGAAAAGGCCACCCGATGTCAGATTAGACACAATATTGAATTTACCTGGGCTGGTTCGTCCGATGATAATACCTGAAGGCCATCGCCCTTTGATTTGTGAGATGCTCCCTGATATCACCTCAAGAGAGACTTCTGAACTCTTTGATTATTTGATTTTTTTTTTTTAACTCTTTGATTCGTGAGATGCTCTCTGACCGTCGCAGTTAATTCAAAACTATTAAAGTCTGTCGTTCAAATTGAGAAGATTCAGCACCAGAATGTGCAGTTGGTGACAACTACTACAAACCCAACGCTACAGTGCCGCGACAGCCAATGGCAAGACGTCCAGTGCATACCCGGTCTTGCTCTAAGATACCTTTCGCTGAATCTAATGAATGTTCCACACATCGAAATATTAGCAGTTTCAGGTCTTGGCCGGCACAGTGACTTTCACCTTCCAGTTAAATGAATTCATATATATATTTACAAAAAAAGAGTTAAAAATCTTACAGTTCTCATCCTTTCCCTCACTCTAGGAGCACTTCGTGATGCTCTTGTGACTCAGCATCATCGTTCTTGCAGATGGTATCCTCTGCCTCTGACATCGCCAGAAGGTGCTCCATGTCCATTGTTCTGATCAAGAAGTCCCATCCTACATCGAGAAGCATGTTGTGGAAGGGCTCCGCAATAGCTCGCATTGCCGGCCTTGACCCATAATCCTCATGGACACATTCCCACGCCACTCTAAAAGCGCTCATCACCATCGGCGTCGTAGAGTCTCCCGCCATCTGATCCCACAAACAGCGGTCAAGAATAGCACGTGGCATGTCCAGGCTCGGGTCTTGGGCTGTTTCACTGTCGCCCCGAAGGAAAGGTTCACTCAGTCCACCAGTGTCTGCCATCCCACCCCAGACGGCGCCCGTGTGACCACCTTCCTTCCCGTCAGCAGCTCCAGTACAAGAACCCCAAAGGAGTACACATCATTCTTCTCGGACAGCTCGCCCCTCAGCATGGACTCCTGCGACATGTACCCGAAGGTGCCACCAATGTGCGATGTGATCACAACGTGGTCGTGCCCTGTGTCCAGCACCCTCTCCCCGATGGCCGCCAGTCCGAAATCAGCCACGACTACGTAAATTTTGTCCCCACAACCATCGCCAAGCAGGACGTTGCTGCTCTTGATGTCCCAATGAATGATGGGAGGCTTGGCATCATCGTGTAGGTATTGGAGCCCCCTGGCAATCTGGAAGGCAATGCTCATGCGCTCCTGGAGAGTGAGCGGCGGAGGGGAATCCTCTGCGAGTTCCCTCTGGTTAGCAGTGTGAGGGAACAGCCGCTCGTGCAGGCATCCGCCTCTGAAGTACGGGTACACCAAGATGCACTGGTTGCCCTCCTGGCAGTAACCAGTGAGCTGGATGAGATTGACGTGATTAACGGCACTGAGAGTGTTCACCTCGGCCACGAACTGGTTCGTCAGCTCACCGGTTTGTCATCACCTTGATTGCCACGTCCTTGCCGTCCACCGAGCCCCTGTAGACTTTCCCGAACGCCCCTTTGTCCCCGATGCGACAGATAGGTCTCGCTAAAATTGTCTGTGCAATCCGACAGCAGTTTACAACCAAACTGCTTGACGCGCGAGGGCCTCAGTCCCCAGAAATCCATAGCATTGCAGTCCTGTATGGATGAAGTCGTCGGCCGGCCGAAGTTAACCGCATGGTTATTACTGGCCTGTTCCAGAGCTCCACGTCGACCCTTTACAAATCCGCTATTGCTGTTGCGAGAAATATCAGACCAGAATATAGATAAATGGAGAGTCCTACCGCTGGATTACCCACCAGGGTGGGTAGAAAAAGTAATGTGAACGATATCGCGCCTGCGAGTCCGGACGGAGTCAGATTAACCAGAAAAATCGTGAATGCAATAAAACTTGAAAATCCGTAGCGGGAATATCTGCGGCTGCGATATCCGTCGCTGCGATTGCTGTACTGTTCGATTCTACAACGGCTCAGTGACGACACGTTCAGCGGAATGCGATACACGCTGCCATCGCTGGTTCATACAAAGAGGCTTAAGCTGTCGCTGTGGTCACCAAGTGCCAATCCCGTAACTTCCGCTTGGTCGAAATAAGGTGGGAGTGACGACATGGCTGACATCCAGCCGCATGTCCTTTCGGTCGATCTCACGAGCATGAAGACCGCAACTGTTTTGCGATCGGCTGTGAACACGCGACAACCTTGAGGCGTTGCAACCACGTCCATCTCTTTCCCGAAGAAAGGAACGTAAGGGTCTGCAACTGTAGAAGGGACGAAATATCCATCCCCAAGCTCTCTCCCGAACAACCTGTTATTAGAAGACACGGAGTAAAGGCAACTGCCGTCTGGGAGAAGGCTTCCAGATTGGAACTCCTCGTCAGGATCGATAGCCGTTTCAACCGGTTGGATGCCCAATTGGGGGGGTACCCGGTTCAGAGGGCCGTTTGGAAGCCCAACATCATTAACGGTGATGTTAATTAATACGGAATCAGATCGCAAATAGTAAGGAAAACTCTTGTTAGACTCTAACGCCCACGCCTTGACCAATTTGCTCAAAGGGCCGGAGGACGACCGAGAGCCGTCAGCGAGCGACAAAGATGTGAACCTGGAGCGATTTTTGTCACCAGATATGGCACCATTGCGCCGCATTACTTTTGGGTGCCCATTGGTTACGCTCAAGATGAGATGCATCCTATCTTTCGACAGACCCATTCCTGTCACGTGAGCATCTCCAAAATCCGCTGGTTCGCGGATTATTGTCCCGTTCGGCTTCCCGTATGGCCACATGTGACTTATCAAGGAGTCGTCCTCCTGCGGGCTCGGACCGTTGGCGTCCTGCACCTGCGTTAAGTTCAGTCTCCTAATCGACAACGCCCGATCCTCGAGAGTACCATGATCCGATTCGCAGTATTGGTGCACGATGTAATACAATTCACCCGAACCGACCACCAGGTCCGTAATTACTGACTGGCAACATTTCCCCGCCGTCTCATTCGCCCGCGGGGTATGCAACTTCACGCGCGTGATGTAAACGTTTACATACGCAGAATAATCTACCTGCCGGTTTTCCTGCGGTGCTGCTGGAGCCACACATGTCGATTCCTGAAGGAGGCGATCACCCGCGTGCCAGCTGTGTTTGGAGGCAAAGCTCCTAAGCCCGGTTCTATGAGCTGATCCCCGGCACGCTGTGCACAAGAGGACCAGATAACAGCCACACACCATAGTGGCTGCTGCTATTGCCATCAAATAGACTGTGACCAATCGCTCCCGGGCAGAGTAGACGCGAAGACGCCTGCAATGATCACATAAAGCGATATAACTGTCCCTAATAGGACAGAAGAGCTTCATATCCCAACTCGTACAGCTCTTCACCCACGCATAGGATTCACGTGAGAAACCCCTCCGCAAACTATTTCTATACTGCCCAACTGAAATCGCCTTCCCTTACTGAACTACAACTCCCCACGCCTGATGCGCAAGTCACCAGAGTTAGTGCATACTCACATGAATTGGATTGCCTGGACTGAATCCATCCCGGAAGATGGACAAATGCCGCCAGCACAGACCCATTGGGAGTGTTTGCCGCCGCTGAACTAGCACTCTAACGCTCAGTGGCTGTGATGTAAATGGAGCTTCCGTTAATCTCTTCTATTCTGCGAGCCGTCAACAGCAACGCGGCGACACGAAGCACGGTCACCCGCGGGCATCGAGCGGCTCAATCGAACACCAATTGCGATCCAAAAGTGATCTAAGCGAAAAAAAGAGCGGGTGAATTTATCCCTCGAACTCATCCGCGCTCAGCCGCTATTCCTATCCTTCGCTTTCCCGCGGTCGCTGCCGCCATGATGGTGTTCCCGAGGGTTTCGAGTGATCGCGGCAGTCGTCACGTGAACCTAGCAAAGTTCACAAACCAGAGAATGCGGTACACGCCACATTTGCTCACCCTAAATAAACATCACGTCGTGACCAAAAAAAAAAAGAAAAAGCTCTTTGCTATCCAAAAACCAAACACTGGATATCGACGGCTCATGCAATGCAAACGCAGTTGCGTCGACATTCAGTCTGGAGACGGGACAGGTGGCGACGGGAGAAGCGCCCGCAGTGTACCGACAAAAAAGGCGGCATCACTATGGCGGGCCGTCTCTGACTGTGCCGTGCAACATATCCGTGAAGATGGGCAATGCCGAAAGCACACGCGCAGAGAAAACACACACACACACACACACACACACACACAAAGAGAGAGAGAGAGAGAGAGAGAGAGAGAGAGAGAGAGAGAGAGAGAGAGAGAGAGAGAGAG